GGGAGAGTGTGAAGAGCGAGCCCAAGGGGAAGGAGGAGAGGAGAGTGTGAAGGAGACATCCATCACCCGGCGACCCCTCGGCTTAAAATGAAGACGGGAAGTAGGTTGAGACAGAAATATGATGGATCTGACCAAGATTAGAGGAGATATTCTGCAGAGTACACGAGTTGTGGGTTGTTACACACTCGACACAGTTTGGCGATTAGTTATGAGTCTGTTACCTCTTTGTGTGTCATTTTTCATCAATAACACACTTTTCATCAGCTCTCTTTTCTGTTGTCTTCCACTTTGTGCACAAAAATAGCTCGAGCAGATCAAATCACACCCAAACTGTTGCTTTACTGAGAAAACAAAAGCACTAATTAAATGTCTGCTGCATTTTTATGACTTAATAATCCATTCAAACATGTAAGCTACTGTAGATACAAGAATCAGACTCCGTTTTAAAGCCGCTTGAGCTTTCAAACATGTAATAAATCACAATTATAGAAGGTAATAGATGGCGTTTAAAGGCCCAATATTCCCTGTTTGACCATGTAAATTACAGATGTATTTGCATGTATAAAAGTTAAACTTATTAATGAAAAATAAGAATTTTTTTCTTTTAGTTGATCATAATTTAATTTCTTTTTGAATGTGAAAACCTCAATTTCAGACTGAATTGTTTTAAAAATATTAAACACTAACACTAAAATATGACATTGCTGCACACTGCATCCTCAGATATAACCAGTTTGTTTGAGGCTAATACAAAACTAGTTGAATACTTTAGAAAATCTGATTATTCATTGCCAATATGTAGATGAGACATTTGATACCTCTTTGTATAGTAAATACATACTGTAGCTGGAGCCAGCAGTCGGTTAGCTTAGCTTAGCATAAAGACCAAAAACAATTGAAACTGCAAGCCTAGCTCTGTCCAAATATACCAAAATCTACCAAAACTACTAAAGCTGACTAATTTTACACGTTCTATGTGGCTTATTTAATTCATACAACATGTAAAAATTACAATTATCTGTATACCTGACTATTTTTTGTCCAGCTAAACTCTAGGCTCTAACGTCATATTAACATACAAACAACACAGAGTTATCGATCTTCTTATGTATTTAGACAAGAGAGAGAATAGGTATATTAACCAAAATGTCACACAATATTTGTAATGTTTTTACTTTATTCATCATTTTTATGCTGTATAATTATTGATCCTTTGGTTGCACATCTCAGTTACACATTTTTCACATCCTTTGAACTAAAGAGCCATTTTATCAAGTCTCCATTGGTCTCCCAGTACAACTGCACCTGATTGCACCTTCTTAGGGAATCTATCACATTCCTTAGGCCCATTTTCCATCCTACTTAAACATCATACCTCCTCCAGACTCACACATCCGACTATTTCATCTGCCTCAGAACAGTGTCTATAAAATCAAAAAGACATCAAGCTTTAATAGCTTTTCACAGCTCTGAATGCATCAGGAATTGCAGAACTCTGACTGAGAAGTGTGAAATAAATTTTTATTGCTTGCATCTCTTTAACCTTGATGCACAAACAAGAAATGTCTCTTTTTAAATCAGACTCTGATCTGCAAAGATAACTCATCTTCCTGTGTTTTAGTACCGGCAGTTACCAGGAGGGAGAACGTTTGTAATCCAGCCTTTTTCTAAAAACAAATGATTATTTTCAAAATATTTGGGGATTTGTTGATCTCATTAATGTGAAGCCGAGATTCCTGAACCGGTGGATTTTCTAAATAAGCATACTGAGCCGGGCTGATTAGTGAGATTTAAAGATTAGACTGAACCAATCTGAGTTACCGGAAACTCTGTGTGAGTACATGTTTTATGTTTAGCCAGCTTTGATCAGTGCATTCAACGGTTCATATGCACATTATATGGCAAACACACACATAGTTAACCCTATGTAATGTCTATGTAGTGTAAAGATGGAGTAGGATTGTTATTTTTTTAAACAGCAAAGGGGGAAATTCATATTTTGTATTATGTTGCTCTTCTCTGTGTTTGCTAGTGCTTGTTTTACCCACTTGTCAAATTATGAGATGAATTACTGCTTTTGAGTCTTTGGAGTAAATTCACCAAACAACTCTTGCTGATACGAGAGTATCTAGCTCAGCTAATATGAACAAAAACATATATAACCTAAATAATATTACAATTATATTGCAAATCAGTCTAATGCTGAATTTATTGTCAAAATAACAACTGTTGCTAAGCTAACCCTTCCAGCAACACACCCTCCAACGAGTCAGTTTAAAACCTAAATGACACATGTTTAAATAGTTAAAAGTGATGGATAAATGGTGAGTTCAAACTAATGGGTTAACTACTGAACATCCATTCAAATTCAACTTTGGGCTGTATTTGAGTTTGTCTGTGGAGAGCAACTGCTATAGCTGCAGTTTAAATCTCAAAATAGTGTGGCTCAAAGGTCCAGTGTGTAACATTTCTATTGGAAGAAATGGAATAAAATATTCATAGGTATGTTTTCATTCGTGTATAATCACCTGAAAATAAGAACCTTTATGTTTTTGTTACCTTAGAATTAGTCGTTTTTATCTACAGACGCCTTCTATGGAGTCCACCATGTTCAACCACCTCGTTTGCGTTTTGCACGAATTTTGCAGCCAGTGCAGTTTCTCCTGTGCGGTTGGAAGGTGAAGGTGAAGGTGAAGCGAGGGAGTAACAATCTGTAATTACACCTCTAGATGCCACTAAATTCTACTCACTTGTCCATTACTAAAACGATAATTTGAATTTGCACCCCATTAAGAACCATTTGAAGATATAACTATGATAGCTATCTGGTGTTGCTTTACTTTTGTGTATGTACGTTAAGCCTATAATGTGCATTTCACCAGAAGTCAGTTTCTATGCTGGTGACAACAATGCAGGGAGGAGGAGGAGGAGAAGGTGGAGGATGAGGAGGGCTGAGTGCTGACTCAGTCTCTCCCCTGAGCCTGGACTCCTCTAGAACACAAACATTACTCACCAAATATTCTCCAATATGTTGTTACAGCTGTGCATGGCACCCTGCCACCTTTACAACACCGATTGTATCATCTTTCCTCCCGAAACTGCTTATTAGTAACTCCTAGTGATCAAGAATAATGCATAAGCCTTATTATACGTTATAGAGTGTCAGGGTCTGCGTGCATTGACATTGATTTGTTTGGAGTTTACCTTTACACCATGTTTGCACAAGCACAGTGCCACATGGAACCTGAGAGATGCAGGTGTGCAAGTGCATGGACATGTGGACTGTGTGTGTGTGTGTGTGTGTGTGTGTTGTATTACTGGCCGTCAGCACCTCTCTCTCTCTCTGTCAGTGAGGCTGGCTGCTCAGTGCAGATAAAAGTGTGCAGATATTTCTTAGCTCTCACGCTGAGGCTGGCTTTATCTGCAGACTCTCCTGTTGGTTGTGTTAGTCCAGCCCTGGGTGATATTAATACCCCACTAATGAGCCCCTTCCTTGAAGAATCCGGAAACAATCGGCGGGTGGTGGGGGGGAGTAGGGGGCGGCGGAGGGGCCCGTGCGCTGAATCAGTCTTTCCCTTGTGCCACAACTCCCCTACGGCTTCCCGGGAACGCACAAACAAAAAGAGGAACGCAGCTCCAATCACATTAATCATGGCCTGTGGGAGTACTGGCACTCGCTCCAGGCGCAGGAGAACGAGAGAATTACACTAGAGGAAGATGTGGAGGGAGAGAATGGGGTGGCAAAGACAATGGGCTGAAAGTGTGTGTGTGTGTGTGTGTGTGTGTGTGTGTGTGTGTGTGTGTGTGTGTGTGTGTGTGTGTGTGTGTACACACGGTAGGGGAGTATTAGTGGAGATGGCTAGTCAGGGATGCTGGGTATTAGTGAATGCCTGGTGCAGGAGAACCCAACCATCTGTGACTATTAGGATTGTGTGTGTGTGTGTGTGTGTGTGTGTGTAGGTTCGGGTGTCTGCGCTGTGGCTATCGCTGTATCCTTGGATGACAAGGCCGCATTGATTAACCCTGATGATTCTGTCTTGCGCCTGATCAGCATTTCTTTGTGTCAGCACACATGCAATAAACAACTGTGTGTGTGTGTGTGTGTGCGTGTGTGTGTGTGTGTGTGTGTGTTTATGTGTTTGTCATGACTATATTATGTAGGAGTGCATGTTTATCATGTTAATAGGCTTAGGTGCATTGTGTTCAAATGAGTAATTGCATGAAATGATTCATTTTTGTTTATGTGGGGGGAATCTGTGTGTGTTTGTAGAAGTGTGTGTGTGTTTATGTGGCCACGGTTGCCACAAGATAAAGATGTCCAGCGCTGCTCTATCTGGTCACATCAGTATTCAGCAGCAGTGGTGCCAGCCTATTCACTTAAAGGGGAGCTGGGCACAATTAGCTGTTAACATTACATGGCAGAATTAAGCCTCGGCCGGTATCCCCGGGGGAAATTAAACCACCGGCAAATCATTAAACCACAAGCTAAACATTAACAGCCATTTGCATTTTTATTGCACCTGAAAAGAATGTGCCAGGTCCATTATCTCTGAGAGACAGAGAGGGACTTCTTATTTATTATTGTTATGTTGTCCCATGTGGAAACACAATGGCATTTATATGGGGAAAGAAGAAGCAAACGAGAGGCCTTATTTTCACACTCGCGTTTTTTGGAGTGTTATGATTACAAATTCGAACAAGGCAGAAACGACTGGCAGAGGATACAATGACTTGTTTGTTATGCAAATCCCCCCCGCTTTCATCCCTCCCAAAAATAAACAAACCCAAACAGATGACAATTTGCGGAGGGGCTCAGCTGAGTAAGGCCGGCAGTTTGGCTGTTGACAGGTTCTTACTGTCTGCAGTGTCATTCCAGTTTGAATAAACAGGCGCACAGCCAGGAAGCTGGAGCCATGAAACACAAGTGAGGTGAAGAGGTATAAGGAACTGAATTCATTCTTTCAGTTCCAGTATCTCATTTTCTCCTGTCTCCTCTGCAGGTGAGCGGGATGTGTGGACACACTCCTCAGCGGGCCTCTCGCTCAGTCGGATCCCCTCCTCCCCAGCCTCCCGCTGCCTCTGCAGCCCGCAACACGCAGCCCTCATCCTCAGACTCTGATGAGACTTTGGCTGGCCTCCGCAGGTGAGGAAATCAGGAGCCGTAATCCAGACTGAGACCCTTCCAGCTGATAAGGCAGCACTCACTCTCCAGACCACTATGGGGGCAATATATGTCTGACAGACAAATATTGTCCCTGATACTGTGGACAGGTTTCTCCACTGTTTCCTTGTGACACTCATTCTTTCTCCACTTGAGTGTTTTTAACACCCCTGATGCAATAACAGGCTTGTAATAATGCCCAGCGGGGCTGCTGGCCTCAGCAGCACAATGGCTAGATTAATGTCAATTAGGAATAGAGACACTGCTTATTCTTCCCTCTTTTACTCTCTCTTTCTCAAGGGGGATCTCATCGACCTGCTTTCATTCTTATCAAGCTAAATTCCCCTCTCGTATTCTACCTCTGCCTCTTCTTCTTTGTGTTGCTTTCTTTGTTTCTTCTCACTGTCGGACAATTTATATTTCTGCTCTTCTCCCTGCTGATGTGTCATATTCACATTACCTGAAGTTTTATTCTTTGTCCCTCTCCATGTTGAACATTTCCTTTCTCTGCCTACTCCAGGGAGTTCATATCCAACCTGAAGGGCTTCAGCTCCTTCTACAGTGGTCTTGGGGAGGCCCTGTGCAGCCGTGAGCCCGTTCCAGCAAACCACTCCCTCTGCTGGAATGGGCAGGAGATGACAGACAGGTAAATCAGTGTCTTGTTTTCCTGTATTAACAGCTCTAAAAACACACTGCACGCCTTGCATGCACCTGCAAACCGATCCACCCTCTAGCACACCCTACAGCCTGCGGGATGGTCCATGTCAGGTTTATTGGCTTTCTAAATGATCGGTAATACAAATAGTCTGCTCTGATTCTTGAATTCCCAATACTCCAGCAGCACATCTAGGAGTGTGTAGGTGAGTTGAAGGGTAAGTTTGCCGAGAGCTGATGAGCTTCACACGAGGGCCCCCCTCTCCCACTGAGTGTGTGTGTAAATCTTGACTTTGGCTCTATGGGATGTTATTAATGTCAGGCTTGCTGTCACCTTCTTCTCGCTTAGTTAATTGCTGTTTCGATCGTTCTCTCCTCCTTCATCCACCATCTCCTGTGCACCCTGCAGAACCTCATTTGGTTTTCGCAATATTTCACTTCACCCCTGTCCATTGGCTCCACACATCATAACTTTTTCCTTTCCGCCTTGCACCGTCAGCCGGCCCCAATTTCAATTTGGCTTAGATAGTTATAGATATCATTCTTTTTTTTCCTTTCCTGCTTTGTAAATTATGTGTAGAATTTAATCAATGCAGAGGAACACATTTCAGATGAGAAGCGCTGCAGGTTAATGTTTTACCTCTTGTTCCCGTGGAGGGCTGAGAATAAATTCTGAGCTTTCTCAAACTGCTGAACGAGAGTCTGTCACATAGAGAGAAAAGAAACTCAATCTGAGGAGGAGACATCAGGTTGGCATCAGGGCAAAGCTGTCCTGAGGGGATGATTACAAGCTGGACCAAACAGTGCGATAGGAAAGTACAGGGAGGCAGGAAAGGAGACGAAATGATGGAGAGATTACAATATCTTGCGGCAAGCAATTCCCTGTGTCATCTGCGAGGGCATATGCCTGCAAATTCACTCCGGGTACATTTTCACTCTACGATTTGCTTTGGATCATCTTCCATTATCCTCCCAGATAGGACCTTCTCCAGAGCCAAACGTGGCATTCATCCTCATATTGTCTATGCAGATAAATTTAGATTGGGTAGGGGTGGGAGGGGTAAGCACTGGAGGGGTCGGGTACTGAATGTCTCCGATACTTGAGGAGTGATCTTTGGAGCTAAATGTGGCGCTTTTTATCAGGCGTGTTTACCAACCCACCTGGAGCCAAGATCAGAGGAGCAACACTTTTCACCACATCAAAGAGCGTCACACTGATAACTGTTGACGCTGTGTCAACTAAAAACATTAAATTTCCATTCCTCTTTTGGATCTAATGACAGTGTAAACTCGTGTGTGTGTGATAAGTGATAAAAGATAAGATGCTGTGTCAACTGTGAACATTTAATTTAGGGACTGTATAAAAATATATAGTGGGGAGAGGAAGACAGAAAAGTGGAAGGTATTGTTATTTTCTTTAGACTTCTTTAGAGAATGAAGGGTAATATAACTTTTCTTTTTATTGTCCTAAACTGATATTTTATTTCAGCCTTCTTTAGGAAAATAATTAATAATTACATAAAGTTACAACAAAAATACAACTTTCACATGTACCATGGCTCATAAAGATGCACTTTATGCAAAGAACAACAGTTCTGTCTCTGTATCAGGGATTTATTAATGTGTATTTTTCAGAACAACGCACAATGATAAACATCACTACAAATGTGTCAAAAAGCTACTTTTCAAGTGTCCCCTGGCCAAATGTTCAATTAGCCATTAAAACAGATTGTTAGGCCTATATCTAAGACTCATATTGACGCTCTGTAAGCTTTAGCTAAATTCTAATTTTCAGCGTGCAAACACAATGACATTGCTAGCGTGTTGATGTGGAGCAGAAGTAACCATGTTAACTATCTCAGTTTAGCATGGAATCATTCTACTTTATAAGCACTAAACACAAAGTATTGCTGAGGCTGATGGGAAGGTATTTGATCAAAACCCAAAGTGCACAAATTATAATTTTGATCTTATGGTGTAGTTATAGGAGCACGTAGGAGATACGGTGGCTGCGAAAACGCCAATTTCTGCCAATAGATCCTCCAAAATGTTACACACTTGACATTTAAGGAATCAAAGAGATTAGAATTCATCCTGAAGGGGAACAGGAATGTCTTTAGTAAATTTCAGGGCAATTCATCCAACAGTTATTGAGACATTTCACTAAAAAACACAAATATGAGCCCTGTGGTGACGTTAGAGGAAATATCAGGTCATCACGATTAAGTCGATAGAATACATCATGGATATCTGCTCTTCCATGGCAATCCATCCGATTGTTGAGATATTTCAGGCTGGACCAAAGTATTGGACAGATGGATCAAAATCGCCCTGCCTAGAGCCACGCCTGCTAACATGGCTATAAACAAACATTTTCACATGTTGTGGGGAAGGTGTTTTATTTGTCAGGTCAAGATAAGGGTTCAAAGAAATACAATAAAACACAATACAGTCCCTTACAGCTCTTTTTATGATATCATCTGAATCTGATTCTGTTTTTGCTCAACATGACATTCAGCCAGAAGAAGTAGTGTATCAACAGTAACAAAACCACTCTGTTTACACACACCATGGGAGTGGAAGTGTGATCAGGTGGTGTGAAAAGCGCCAGACTCCATTAAGAATTCCTTCAACACCTGGACTCCCGCATCCCTTCTCCTTTTGTTGTTTATTCGGACATGAGAAGCCGCTTATTCAGACTGGACCTAATGGCGTGGTAAATTGGTGTTAGATTAGATTAGGTTATCACTGGAGTTAACTGATCTGATCAGCTCAGCTAGCAGCAAACAATAACACAGAAAGGATCAGATAACAAGCTGAGAGCTGACAACTGAGACTTATCAGTGGTGAAAAAACAGTTTAACAGGGAAACGCGCTAAATTATAATATGTGTCTGTAAAAATTATCTGACTGGCATCTATCATGTGAAACACTAACCTGCCTCGGCTCCTTATCTCCACTCAAAATCTCCCTCCCCTAATCCTCCTTCCTCGACCCATATTTCCTCCTTTCCTCTCCTTAATGGATCACACATCTCTCTCCATTATTAATGTGATAATTAGCAGCTGAGAGGGGGTGAGATCATGGCTAATAAGAAGAATAAATAACTGGGGAAATGTAATTTGAGTTTAATGAAAAGTCTGACTTCAGGGAGAGCAGAAGACTGATGAGTGGAGATGACAGGTGAAAGGTGTGTGTGTGTGTGTGTGTGTGTGTGTGTGTGTGTGTGTGTGTGTGTGTGTGTGTGTGTGTGCTCAGGGCTGTTTCATAGAGATGAGAACAGAGTATGACCTCATGCTTTACACACACACGATGCCTCTCACACACATTTTTTTTTTCCAAGGCCCTTTTCTCTTTTTACTAACCTTTTCTCTGGAAATCAGTTTTCCCCACTCTGGCCCATTTGTCCTTCATCTTTCCAACATTTGCAGCAATAAAGCAGATGACATTTACGCTGAGAAATGACCTCTGCCCTCACCACCACTCAAATCAGCCTGGGGGAAAGATATGTTGTCACTCCTGACTCTAGTTCATCTAAACACGCCTGTCTCATGCGTGCAGGAGTGAGTTAGCACAGCTGTGATGTTGTGTCGGGAAGGGGTTAATTCCTGGCACTGCCAAGACTGAAGAAACACCTGCGGGAAAGTTTGAGACTCACCAACTCCTCCTCTTGATAACATACACAGGTGTCAACAGAACCGTGTTTCCTCAGTTACACAGAGAGACATGTAAGCGCCTGCCTGTAGGCTGGTTGTGCCTAAATATACCCTCGCCGCTGGAGCAGGACAAAAGTATATTTCTGCTAATGTCCTCTCATTAACACCAGATATGATTAAAAGCCACTAATTGGCCATTTTAATGTGCATGAAATTAATTACCCAGACTTTGTATAATGGTTAAACTCCTTTGAGGATGGTTTTACCTCACGGTGTCTACGAGTTAAATTTTAATAAAGCCTAGTGCTTAAGCATTTTGAACATAAATAGTTTCTTTCTGCAGTCTCCACAGCTTTTATTAAAAGTATAAAAAATATCTTTAAACATTAAAAATGTGATTCGGTGTTTAACTTTATAGACATAATGTCTTCAGTGAGGGAAAAGTTAGTCCTTTGGTTAGGGTTGAGTTACAAATGAACTTTCCAGCTTTGAAGATTGGCCCCTAAGCTAAAAAACAGAGGCACTGTCATTCATCTTATCAACACTAGATGGTGATAAACACCTTGTTTGGGGTGATGGAGAAATGATCAGTTAATTATGACCTCCACTTGTGAAACTTACTTTTCTAAATTAGGGTTTCTAAATTCAGTAAAAGTCCCAATTAGAAACAATCAAACTGAAAAAAAAACTGAATCAATGTTTTCTTCCTCTCTTGTCAGGTTTCCTGGACCTGGCCTGAAGCGATCGCACCCGGGCTCAGAGTCCCGAAGCAACAAGCCCCCTGAGCCGATCATCAGCCAGATCATAGACAAACTGAAACACATCAACCAGGTGAGCTGCGTGCATGCTGCCCGTGTTTTGTGTATGTACCACTTCGTCTGTTACAGTAAGTTAAAAAACTTTCTCTGTGCACATGTGCTGCCCTTTTCTGTGGAGGTGCAAGGATTTTCCTTACCATTAGTTCTGCCTCTTAGTTCAGAATTGGACATTGATTTCCAGGCAGGTCTCACTCTGCAGCTCCTGTGGGGGTCAGCACAGGACAAGTGAAGCGCTGTAACTCACCTTTCTCACCCACTTTTGAGAGAAACTCCTCCTCCTACACCACCTACAGGCTGTGTTCAAGGTGATGTCAAAACCTTGCTATTTTAAAACACAATAAAATACCCTTGAAAGGAAACTTGTGAACAGACCCTTTAATTTGTGTCTCATCTGCACTTCTCAAAAGATGAAAGAAAACTCTTTTTAGACACAAATGTACCAAAGTGGCGACCAGACGAGGACTAATTTTCTACGGGCGATGGGGGTTGTTGTGACGAACAGGAATTATGTCCTCAATCCACAGTAAACCCCAGCTGTCAAGGCCGAAGCCCCCTTTTTTTGCTGAGTCGCCATGGAAACCACTTTTTGGAGTGGGCTGACTGAGTGCAGAGATGCTTCCATGTAGGCTCAGAGTCAGCCTCTGTAGGTAGATGTATCAGCCCACAGATCTGTCTGTATTTCCTGGTTCTTGGTGGTTGCACTTGTAGCTGTCAACACGTCGGGTTGCTGCCGACCCCCGCACACACACACGCACCATCTTCCAGCTGAAAAGTGTGCTTGCATGTGTGCGTTTTTGTCTGCTATGTGTGTGTTTGAGCCTCTGAGTGCTACAGGCCTGTCATGGTGGATTACAATCCTTCTCTCCTGTTTAAACAACATGGGAGATCCAAGGAGCAACTGTGGACCTTCCTCCACTCCCCCTCTGACAACCAGAGACCCTCAAGAAAAATACAGAGGGTTGTGGTTGGAGACGCTGTAATTCTTTCAATTACTTTTGCTTTATTACCTCATACACGCTTAGTCCCGCTGTAAGCAAGAGGAGCAGCGCTTGAACAGGAATGATAGGTGTGTCCTTACCCCTTACCCTCTTCAAAATCCCCTGTATGATTGATCCAAGATCTCAGTCTAAATGTTTTATGGAGGTTTAAAAGATAATTCCAGTTTATAAAAACTTGGGTTTTGGTTTTATAGTTTTGGCAATCTTTTCTCCTCTTTATGAAAACATGTTTTTTCCAAAGAAATTGCTGACATCAGGGAACACAGAAACTTGGCTAAAATAAAGTCTGATAGTAATAAGGGGAACAGTTTTTACTTATAATAATATTTTTACTGCATACCTTTATTTTCTCTTCCAAATAAATGTGGCTAACCTGGAAGTTTGCTTAATATCTGTCTGATCATCTGACGCGTTCTCCTTCTGACTTCTTTTTAGCGACTTTGCAGCATTCCCAGATCTCAGACTTGTTGAGTATGATGTTATAATACCAATGGCCAAAACTGCAAAAATAAAACCCAAGTTGTAATAAACCGGAATCATCCTTTAATCTTAAAAACACAGGATGTGTACACACTCGCACTCTAATGTAATAAGCCTTTCAAAACTTCCTGCCCTGACAGGGACAAACATTTGTACCCATATGATTACAAGCCGAGCTGCTGCAGTGCAGACTGTTTACCATGTGGATCAGGTTCCTGATAGGCTTTTGATGAGATTTTGCAAGTAAATGCAGTTTGGTGAAATGACTGAGCTCATTGTGTTACAGACATTCAGACAATCCCTTAGAAACATGGACGCAGTGAAACTGCGTGTGTGATCAGATGCTCTCAGTAACCTAATACTCAATTCTCATTTGCCCCCGTGTTGTACTGATGACGTGGTATACATGTGGACATTTATGGGGATTTGATTCTGTTTACATAAACACCTGACATTTATGCAGATTAACTATTCACATGGGAGCTTTTAATCCCATATCTGATGACCATACAGCAGAGTTAAGCACATTTCTGCCTGAACTCCAACTTCCCTTTAGATCTCAACATCAATGGGCTGGATTAACATCTGACAAAGCGACTGACTGCGCTTGATTGCATATTTCATGTGCAGTAAAACTGTTTATGACTCAAAGCCATTTGTGAAGAAATCAGATTACACAAATATTTTTTATTACAAATCATCACTATACTAGGGTTCACAGTATAATAGGAACTCCTCAGAATATGATGCAATATAATACAATAGTCCTGCAATAAATACTCCCTTTGTGAAGTTTACAATATCAGTTATCTTGTGCCTGAGAGAGCTCACTCAAGTTCATGGTAACTTTTGAGGTTTCAGTTTGTTGTGTTTATGTATCATTTTTCATTATATTGTAAGCTGTTCCTGTTATTTTGTCTAATCATTTGTATATCCATTCTAGATATCTGCAAACATGATAGAAACAAATGTTTTGTTCACAGCTGAAGAAAGAACAAGACAAAGAGTCTACAGCCTTGCCAGCGGCTCTGTGAGAGGCTATTTTTATGCAAGGCCGAGCTTTGAGCTAAACGCTCAAGTCAGCATGCTAACATGCTCACAGTGATAACATGCTGATGTTTAGCAGTTTTAATGTCTGCCTTATTCGCCATCTTAATTTAGCTGAGGCTGATGTTGATGCAATATCAAAAGTTAATGGATGACCAAAGTTATTACAATTCATCCTGAGGGATGAATTAAATAATTATTATATGTTATATATTATACAGTGATGTTTCACTAACAAACTAAAAAGTCAACCTAATGTTGGTGCGAGAAGAAAAGTCACCAAGTTTAGTTGGAATCAACCTCTGGGGATCACGAATGATTGATTGAATATTTCATGGAAATCCAGCCAGTAGTTGTCGAGACATTCACCTCATGATGGTGGTAGATGAAAATTATATACAAAATTTTGTGTCATTCCATATAGCAAATGAAGTTTGACCTGCTGTCAGACAGTCAGCAAATCATCAGTATTCATCCTCAGGGCACCATTAATTACTTAAAAAAATGAATCCAACAGTTGTTGAGGCGATGGGCCGATTGACTGACATCCGTAGAGCCATGATGCTAGCGTGGATAAAGAAAAACATATCTGCCAATAGAGTCGACCGATGTCATGCAGAACTTTTAACTTGCTTTATAATGGCTAAATGTTTATTGACTACACACTGTATTTCATGGTCCTCGCTGCTCCGAGCCGGGATGTTGTAAACAACCTCTGAAGGCACTAGAGAAAGTGATGTTGTTTAGTTAAAAGCAGTTTTACAAGGTCTCCGCCTCCCCGCCAGTTGAAAGACCACCAGCTCTGGATGTTGAAGGGCTAAAAGCAAATGGACTAATTAACCATCTGATATGAGAGAGCAGGCCACAGCTCACAGATAATTACTTTCATCTGCCCTGTTTATACGCGGAGTGTATGAGAACAGGCCAACAATGAGATAGTATGCGTAATGTTCCTGGAAGTCAACCAGGAGAGTGCCATGCTGATTAAAAACGGCAGTATTTCAGTCTTGTGTTGTCGTCAAGTGTTTGAGCATCGTGTAATATGTTCAGAGCTGCAGAATGTGTACATTATTGTCTTTATATGCATTCAGCTTCACATTCAGGACACGGGTCACTCGCATACGGGTCTTTACAAGTCCTACGAGGCTCTTTTATCCTGCACACGTTTTCCATTTGAATGAACATTATTCTCCTTTTGGCTCAAACATCGAACACAATCAATGGTTCTTCCAGCTCATACTGACCCACTTTCTAACCACGAATCAGTCCCAGCCCACAGTATGCGAGTCTATGTCATAAAATATAGGGGCTACACTCTCCAACAGTGGGGGGGACATGGGACCCCTCCAAAAAATCCACTTCCTTCCAACTTTAATCCCCCTGATGTTTCATTCCTCCACTCCTAAGTGCTCTGTGACCATGGCCCTGTGAAATGCAGCTATGCAATGGAAATGTGTCATTTCTCACGTTGTCAGTGTTGATCAGAGTATCAGCAGATACAGAGACAGTCTGGCAGGGAGACCCTTGCCTTTGTGCCTCTGTGAAGCTAAACTAAACACCAAAAGAAAAAAAATCTCAGAACCAGTCGCCTTAGCTTATAAAACAACGTTTTCTCACGCCTAAAGCAGCTGATGTCATGACTGAGCCGTAGCCAGGTTTAAAGTGAACTGTGCACTATAAATGGATGAAGAGAAATGGCTTTCTCCTTTGGTTATTGCTTCTTGACTTGGAATCTTTAAACAGTGCAGGACTGTGAGGAGCCATGGACATTTTTTGTGCGTGCTAACACTGTGTAACAAATTCCTGTGTGAGATCCCGTCCATGTGTTGTTCCCTGTATACGCAGTATGTCAAAGCAGATAAAGACGAGTGTCGACATGCTTTCCTCAGGCTTGACATCAAGTTGACGATATTCTCCAAGAAGTCTTGCTGTGTTCTTAATGAGAACCTCACTTTAGCTGTGACACTACATTAATACTTTTATTGTGTAAAAACTGGCCCGGGTGAGTTCCCTTGTGGAGAGACATATCTGGAGTCAGCGCTCCTTAAATTAGAACATATTTTGGTGATGTGTTCTTGTTCTGAGGAGATGAGTTTGTTTTTCAGAACATCTGTTTAACTTCCCAGAGTATTGGGTTTCTCCTCTGAACAACTAATCTCACAGGAGATGGTTGAGCTAGTGGCAAAATAGAGCAATTATGTGATTGGTCTTTGATTACAGAGCGTTTCCCACTCATTTGTCAGATGAGTGTGCCATTTGGAGGGTCAGGCCTCCTGGGATTATTCTGACAGCCTCTTCTTGGCTATATGACACGCTTTGGAGACGATACATTTGTAATATCACGGATATGAAAGACATCTTTGTTGAAGATTTTCATGAATCCCTTTTTGGCAAAACACAATTATTTCATCTTGCACTGTTAAAATTGCTCTGTCATTTTAAGAATAACAAACATTTTCACATTGCGTGCCAAAGCGCCTTATTCAAA